ACGATCTTAATTGTTGAATTATTATGTTTATTCTTGTGCTACAATGGAGTACCACTCAGCGTCAATGCTGAGCGGATAGCGTTGTTTTCTTTTGCTGTCCGTAGGTGATCAGACAGATGAACCTAGAGCCGATCCCAGAGGGCATTGAGGAGGAGATGTACGATGGCGTGGCTGTCTCTTTAATCTGTTGATTATGCTTTATTTAATTAACTGTAATGCTTATTACGTTTTCGGGCAAGATCCCAAGTTGTTTGACTTTAAAAAGGCTTCCGCATTATTTTAAATTACTCCGATGGATTTTTATATGTATTGAAAGAACGTTTGTTTAAAATTGTTCTGATAATGTCGCAAATTCGGATACCAATTCAGTGACACACCGGTCCGCTGTCTCACGGGTTTGGGTCATGCGGGTTGGGGTGTTACATTTTGGTATCGGAGCATTTGGTTTTAAAATCGGTCTTTGGACCCTTTCAAAATAAAATACAATGAATAATTCAGCCGCACCTGCATCTCACGTAACTCCTCTGCCCCGGGAAGGTAATAAGTATTTATAGCTTTATCTGTTATATGTTAAGATATGATTTGGGAATTTCCTTATTATTTTAGAATGAGTCAAGAATCAACCCATGGTCAGTACGTTCCGGAACCGGAGCACGTGAGCGTGCACACGGTGAACACCGAGGGTTCAAGTTTCACGCCTCCGGGTGACGGAGGGCAACGACAGAATCCACCTGAGCCAGCGGGACAGCCACCAGCTGTACCACCGCCAGTCGTACCACCTCCAGTGATGCCACCGTTGGCGATACCGCCGGTGGCCTACGAGCAGATGTTCCCGGCCATGATGGCCCATTATATGCAGCACATGGCGCAGTTTATGCCCATGTTCCAGCCACCGCCACCACCACAACCGCAGCCGCGCATCGTTACCTTCAAGATGTTGAAGGATAATGGAGCGGAAGAGTTCCGAGGAGACAATATGGGGGAGCCCCAGATTGCTTTGGATTGGCTTGAGCAGATGGACCGGGTACTCAAGAATTTGAGAGTCCCAGATGATGATCGCTCGGAGTTGGCGTCACAGATGTTCCGGAAGGGAGCATATGATTGGTGGAAGCGCATTGACCAGGATCCACACACGCCCAAGTCGTGGACCTGGGATCGCTTCGATCGAGCCTTCACGAAGGAGTACGTCCCCACCCGGTACCGCGAAGAGAGGCGCGATGAGTTCGTTGCGCTTAAGCAGGAGGGGATGTCACTGCCTGAACTAAGATAGAGGTTCGACTACTTGTCCCAGTACGCGACGAGTCTGGTCTCCACTCCGGAGGATCGTTTGAATGAGTTCGTCAAGAAGCTACGGCCGGACTTAAGGCCGTACGCCGCACTGATCACGACGACAGATTTTAATGCGGTGTATGATTTGATTGTGAAGACGGAAAAGAGCTTGGACGATCTGCAGGCAACCAAGAAAGAGGATAAAGCGACGAAAGACCCGCGACCCGTGGCCAGCACCGGGCCGAGCGGGAAGAGTTTTGGATTCGGGGGAAAGAGGTACGAGAAGGGTTCTTCGAGTGCGCCACCGCCTAAGAGGAGTAAGTCGAGGTCGTCTCCGTCGGCCGCCGCTAGCAACTCGAACAGAATGAGGAGCCACCCGCAATGTGTACATTGTGGTAGGCATCACCCGGGCGAGTGTTGGCTCACCCAAGGCTTATGTTTGGGTTGTGGTCAGCCAGGGCATTTCAGGAGGCATTGCCCGACAAACCCTAGCAGCGAGCCTATACCATGCATGGGCGCACAGATCCTAGCCCCGATGTTATCTTGGGTACGTTCGTACTATTTGATTCGGTTATGCATGCCTTGATCGATCCGGGTTCTACGCTCTCCTATATCTGTGTTGGCATGCCTGCTAATTCTGCGATTGTGAGGAGTGACCTTGAGATACCTACCGTTGTATCGAATCCGCTAGGACATAGCATGCGCCTTCATCACATCTATCATAGGTGTCCGTTGTCCGTGCAAGGGAAGCAATTCCCTGCAGATTTGATATAGCTACCACACAAGGAGTTTGACATTATCCTTGGTATGGATTGGCTCACCGAGCATAGAGCAGTGGTCGACTGCAGTTGTCGGGCCGTACGGCTGAGAGCCGAGGACGGTAGCGACGTATTACTCTCCGGGGAGGTGTTCCCCAAGGCTCCCGAGTTCATATCGTCCTTGAGCGCGAGGCGCTTGATTCGCAAGAAGTGCGAGATGTTCTTGTGTCACGTTCAGGATATGCGAAAAGAATCGCCACGTCAGCAGGACATTCGTACGGTTTGTGACTTCCCCGATGTCTTTCCCGAAGACCTACCTGGTTTGCCTCCGCCGAGAGAGGTAGAGTTCTCGATCAATCTCATTCCGGGTACGGAACCCATATCGGCTACACCGTATCGTATAGCACCTGCCGAGATGAAGGAGTTGAAGGCTCAGTTGCAAGAGCTACTGGAAAAGGGATTCATCCGACCTAGCGTTTCCCCATGGGGAGCACCGGTGTTATTTGTTCGAAAGAAAGATGGATCCATGAGACTTTGCATCGACTACAGGCAGTTGAACAAAGCCACAGTGAAGAATCATTATCCATTGCCTCGCATCGACGACCTGTTTGACCAGCTCAGAGGGGCTACAGTATTCTCGAAGATCGATCTGCGTTCTGGATACCATCAGATTTCCGTTAAGAGAGAAGACATTCCGGAGACTGCTTTTAGAACACGCTATGGGCATTATGAGTTCTCAGTCATGCCTTTCGGATTGACTAATGCCCCGGCAGTGTTCATGGAGCTTATGAACAGTGTGTTCCGACCATACTTGGACCAGTTCGTAGTAGTGTTCATCGATGACATCTTGGTTTATTCACGGACTCAGGAGGAGCATGCTAGACATTTGCAATTGGTT